GATTTTTTTACAACGACACCGGCAGTAAACATAAGCGGTAAGTGCCAGATCGGTAACCGTGTTTATATAGGTACGAATGCTGCATCCAGAGGGCATAATGTTATCTGTGATGATGTAACGATCGGCATGGGAGCCGTTGTATTAAATAATATTACGGAACCCGGTATTTATGTGGGCAACCCGATCCGGAAAATAGAGAAGAGAAAATAGACAAGATCCTGTACCTGAATTTTAATACGGTACCCTGATCATTTTATATTGAATTTTAACTGTGTATTAAATGGCTAATGTTTTATTTGATAACCAGGTTCCATTGATGAAACCATGGTTGGATGAAGAAGAGTGGTATGCACTTAAAGATGTGATACTGAGTGGATGGGTAAGCCAGGGACCTAAAGTACATGAGTTTGAAAAGGTAGTGGCTGAATTTGTAGGGGCAAAGCATGCAGTAGCGATGAACGCCTGTACTTCTGCAATGCATGTAGCCATGAAGATAGCTGGTGTCAGATATGGTGATGAAGTGATTGTGGCGGACTCCACCTGCATGGCAAATGTAAATGCGATTGTAATGGCAGGAGCGAAACCTGTATTTGTGGATATTGACGGGGATACATTTAATATTAACCCGGAACTGATAGCAGCCAAAATCACTGAGAAAACCAAAGCAGTGATGAATATTGACCAGATTGGTCTTGCAAATGACCTGGATGCACTTCAGGTTATCTGTGACAAATATGGAGTGGCACTTATCGATGATGCAGCTACCGCTTTAGGTGGCCGTTATAAAGGAACTTACCTCGGCGGACACAATATTGTGACTACTTACAGTTTCCATCCGCGGAAAATGATCACCACCGGAGAAGGCGGTATGCTGGTAACCAATGATGACTATACCGCAGAGCAGGCGAGAATATTAAGAGCAACAGGGGCCTCTGTTTCGGATCTTGAAAGACATAAGGCCAAGGGAATGATCCAGCAAAAATATTATGACAGCGGTTACAACTACCGGATGACCGATATTCAGGCAGCGATAGGTATCGTACAGATGGGCAAGGTGGGGGAAATGCTTCGCCTGAGAAAAGAACAGGCTGAAATATACAATAAGCATTTTGGAGAAATGGAAGAGTTGAAAGTGCCTTTTGTACCAGATTATGCCAGCCCGGCCTGGTCGTCGTACTGCCTTAAAATAACACCGAAATCTAAAAAAACAGTTGTAGAGATCGTAACTGCAATGTCTGCTATGAATGTTTCTGTGCGATATGGCATTCAGCCCCTGCATCAGGAACCTTATTTCGAACATATGAACTATCGTGATGAGGATTATCCGGTGAGCTGTGCAATAGCTGAGCAAACCTTCTTTATTCCTATCTATCCGGGCATGACAGAAGAGCAGCAGTTGTATGTAGTCAATTGCTTAAAAAAGATATTATCCTGATATGGCATCCCGATCTCCTGTAAGTGTTACGCTTATAATCCCAATTTACAACGAAGAACAGCTGGTAAAAAAAGCCA